CAGGGCATGGCAGGGCAGACAGCACAGCAGAGCAGGGCATGGCAGGACAGAGAGCACAGCAGAGCAGGGCAGACAGCAGAGCAGGGCATGGCAGGACAGAGAGCACAGCAGAGCAGAGCACAGGTCGAAGGCATCTCCCTCCATCGCCCTCTGGATGCTGCCCCCCATCTTTAGATCCGTCCCCATGGGCTGTTCGTTAAGTAGCCCCGCACGGCTTTTATAGTGTGTGTAAATTCCTTTCCATTAAGATGGCAGATAGGGAGCCCAGACAGTGCACGAGCAGCTGAAGGAGATCTGCAGGCGTATATATACTGGCACTGTTATTAGCCAGCGTCTGGCGGAAGCTCACCGCACACGCCATCAGGGCAGCGGGGGAGACAACCTACTCATTTTATAAGGAACCCCACTGTCCACAAGGGGTCAGACCAAGAAAACGAGATGCACACATGCTCCTTGGCCCAGCCTCCACCTGCCCCCCCCCAACTTTCCCTTCTGCATGCTCATTGGCCAAGCCCCCACCTGCCCCCCCGTACTCCTTGGCCCAGCCATGGTGTCTCCATCCTGGCAAAGAAAGGCAGACAGAAGACCGCAGGACCTTGAAACCCGATCCATGAACCTCTCCTCCTCCTCCTGAGAGCGCCCCCCTCCCATTCCCTACCCCTCCCCCAGGGGCACCAGCAAGGCAACCCAATCCCTCCCCCACGACCGAAATCAAAGCACATTATCCGAAGGCAGCAGAGAGGCTGCTGAAGTAATGCAGCAAAGAGGTGGTGTTACTCGGCACAGAACAGGGAGGCAGAGCGCGATCGCGGGTCGTCTTTCCACAAAGCAACAGCCTTTATGTTTTCCATGCTACAATTTGTGGAGCCATTTCCAGCAGAGAATTAGAGGTTTACTGTTGAGGGGGGTGTAAGGGGCCCAGAAGCCTGAGGACAAAGGGGGGGGGGGGGGGGCAGCAGGAGAGGAGACGGCCACAGTTTCCTGAATCCAGAGAAATTCCTGACGCATTTTATTCACTTGCCCATTCACAGAGCTGAAGAGCCACTATAGCAATTCCCGCAAAATGCTCAGCTCAAGGGTACAACAGCAAAGCCCCTGACTCATTCCCACCAGTGTAAGGGACTTCCTCAGCCATTCCCCACACCTACTGCCACAAATGCTTCCACAGACAGCAATATCCTCCTGGGCAAATGAAAGGCATATTACGGCAAGTGCAGTGCGTGGAGGAACGGTGCTTTCTTCAGTATTTCAAGGAATGGCATAAAGCAGCGTTTCCCAATCTGGTCCTCAGGGACCCACAGACAGTCCAAGTTTGTGCCAGAAGCTGGGAGGAAGTAAAAATGTAAATTGGCTGGCAGGGAGCTGAGTAGGAGCAAAAATGTGGAGCGTCTGTGGGTCCCCGACGACCGGGTTGAGAAACACTGGCACAGAGTATTGGCAGAGTATTCAAAGTATGTGGTGAAAAAGGACCTTTATAATAGGGACACTAAGCCTGTACTGCTGCAGGAGGGATCCAGGCCACAGTAATCTGTAGGTGAACATTCAGAAACTGGAGAAGCACACAACTCTCTACATGAATGCTTAAGGGCACAGCTGACGTGCAGGAAGATTTAATAATAATAATAATAATAATAATAATAATAAAGATTTGAGATCAGCAGAGGAACACCTCACCATTGCAGGAGGTCAACCCCTCTTGATTTCGCCTGAAATACACCCGTACGCATGCCTCAAAAAACAGCAACAGAGGCAATGACTTACAACGGCAACCTGGATGTGATCTTAGGTACCAGAAGACCGACCTGATTTTAACCCAAATAAGGACACTGCCACTGTACCTTCTGAGGTTCATGACATGCATTAAGTAAACAAAAGCATAATCACTATAAACAACGGCCCATACTCTGGGTAATCCACGAGAGGAGGACATCCACGCAAAGACACAACATGCACACTGCTGCAGTGAGCTATAAGCAGCATGTGAACATGCCTCCAGAGCAGAACCAACAAACTGGGGAAAGAGCTTCATAACTGTTAAGGACATAGACTGTGAAAACTGAAGAGACCGAGTAAGACTGAGTAAGGTATACAAGGCTTCCAAAGGTGGGATTCACCACGAAATGTTACTCACGACCCAAACAATAAAAGACCTAAGTCAGCTATGACCAAGTCATCACGTAGGGCACACCCCACCCTCAGCATGGAACAACCCACACGAGGTGCCATGCCTGCTTAAAAACCACCCACTCTGCCAAAAGAAATGCTGAAGTGGCTGAATTGGAAACTCTGATTAACGTAACCAAGTTCAACCTTCGCATCAACACCACAAATACACAAACAATTTGACAACATTCTAAAAATAAGAAATGTGATGTTGCGTCTTTTATGACAGTATTAACAGCCCCGTCAAGCTGCCTTTGGATTATATAAACACTATGTTAGAGGACAATGAACACATCAGACCCACCGACGCTGGACCGCCAGCTGTGACCGTCCCCCTAATGAAGCACTCAGAAAAGTCAACGCTGGGGATCATAGGTGTTCATTATGTCTGAACTTCACCAAAGAAAGTCTTCAACACATGAACGCTGCAAGGCAAGCGAGCAGCTTCAACCACACAATGCAACTCAAAGCACCTTCTGGCCTTTTTCAGAGCAGGTACTGGTATGGCTGAATTTAGTGTGCATCTCATACAGACACCAAATAGTATTCTGATTTGACGAAAACTGCAGAATACATATGATGCTTGAATTCTCCTTGATATTTTAAATTCTACAAAGTACCAACTACTACTACACAATTCTGCAGTGGTGTCTCTAACAGGTACACAGTCAGGGGGGGGGGTGTATAGTTTCTACAAGGGTCAAACTGATACGTCCAAATCCTGTGAAGTATCAACAAGTCCCCATCGTCACTCTGGTGGCCCCGGGACCCACATTTCTGTGGTGGGGTGTCTCTGGCTGGTCCTCAAAGTGAAGTCTCAGAGGCGGTGTTTCCGCGGAAGGGTGTCTCTGGCTGGTCCTGAGAGTGAGGGCTTAGAGGCCGTGTCTGCGGGCCGGTGTCTCTGACTTGTCCGTGCCGCTCTTCGCGGGAGGGGAGCTTGGCTCCTCGCCTCCGCTTCCTCCATGTTAAAACGGGTGCTGGCGGAGGCCCAGAGCGCCGTGCGATCCGCGCATATCGGGGAGGGGGGAATCATCGACCTTAACCGGCCATGTCTATGAGTATTATTATTAAGTCGCGATTAAGGTGAACGTGACTTACGGGTTAAGCAACCGGGGCTTCCAGGTAGTTTCGCTTTAAAATAGTCTATGTCATCGATGAACAAGCTACAAAATAAGTATTTGCTCTGAAAGTATAACGAATATAAACTTTTCTACCGAGTAATGTCAGTAATTATCCATTTCACAAAAAAACACAAACACTGTTCTACTGTTGTGAGAATCCACTATAACTTCCGTCGTGCTCCTTAACCTACTACTACACCACAATAGCAGAAAAACACATTATTCGGCGGAAAATGGGTAAACAAACGGAGAGAAACACCCCAAGGTTAAGTTTGGTGTATTATGATTATCTAACAAACTCAACCAACTGAAACGTTTACATTATGTACACGTATGCGAATCAATTAAAAATACTATTACTGCTATAAATAAGCGCTGGTGAAGCGAAGTGTTTAACGCCAGCCGAGAAAATATCCACGTCTCGGGGAAAAAAAATCTCAAATTTTACAAGAGCAAACTTTAACCCCCCCCCATCGAAGGGGAAATGCGCTGCCTTCTTACCTACGTGGTGCGACAGGCAGCCGTCCGGGATTCGCCGGGCGCGTCTCCGCCGCGCTTCCCCAAGCTGCCCACACGCAGTCGCCGCTAAAAATATCGAGTATTTTTCCTGGATCGGCGACGGTGGTTACTGCTTTTTCGCCGTTTTCATCAGCTCGCCCACCTCGCTCCGAGCCTGCGCCTCTAGCTGCGAGACATTCCTGCGCCAAACGAGATCTTTCCCGATCAAACTCTCCAATCAGTGCAGCCCGGCGCTCCGCGTTACCCGAGAGCGCTGCTGGCGGGGGCTGGGTGGAGACCTGCGCGTCCCCGACACCCGGCGGCGCCACCTAGCGGCCGCTCCAGGCAGGGACGCTTCCACCTTCCCGGGCTTCGCAGTGCGCTTTATGCAACAGCGGTATTATTAGTAATGGGAAAGCTTTCAAACGCATGTAAATGCCAAGAGAAACCCCCCTTTATTTGTAGTACCAAGATTCATTTGTCCATGTTCACTTATTAGACATTACATTGGATTCAGTGTTTTTTTTTAATTTATATTTAAATATTATTTTTTAATGTTTAAAAAATTCACTGCATTGCGATGAGTTCGCGCCCCTTCTGCAGCCTTTGCACAACCCATCCATCTCTACTTGAAGAATTTCTTTCTCTCTTATCTGTATCACATTGATATACCTCATGCATATTTGTCTCCTGTACTATATGTTTATATGTTTACATTGCACTCTGTCTGTCTTTGATATTGTGTCTTTTGTTTGGTCTGTGTCAACTGTGCACAGACTGAACATGCAGAGTAAGATTTTCATTGCATGGTGCAACTGACTATTTACCATGCACACGAGATGGGCTGGCCCCCCGTCCAGGGTTGTTCCCTGCCTCGTGCCCGTTGCTTCCGGGATGGGCTCCGGACCCCCCGCGACAATGGATGGACGGATGGACGACAATAAACTTAATTCTGGGTTGTTCTCGGCCCTCCGTCCATAGTCTCCGGACCCCCACAACCCTGAATGGGACACAAATGGAAAACAAATGGATGCTACGCTATATTATACTGAGGTAGGGTTTGGCTGTTTTGATGCTCTCCACACAAATTTTAGAAGCAGAGATGGACGGTGGTGCATGACAAGAAAGCCGGTAACTTTCATGATAGTACTCATCGCCACAGGAATACAGACTGCAGGATCTCTGATTCCCTAGAAGCAGGTCGGTCCTCGGAAATGAATGTGTTTACGCTGTGAGAGGAAACGTGCAAACGGCAGGCGTGAGGACAGGCAACTGGATTTAACTCCCCACACTTCTCACGGAGTCACTGTTGTTCTGTCAGCCCTAAAACAAACAGTATTCACAGCAGCAAATCTGATTTTCAAGTGATGTGACTACGAAAAACACTCACTGCATCTGTAATGTGTCTCACGTATTGTAGTGACCCTAAAGAACATTTTGGCTTACTGATAATGTGGTTTGGGTCACTGCCTGACGGGGAAACATGTGACAAGAACGTACATGTGGTGACACCACAGGCCATTGTGTCTCCCTGTAGGCGCCCTTATTTGCAGCACTCACTGAGGGAGCAGCAGAGAGCTCCGGCCAAGGCTGCGACACGCAATGCTGATGCAGGTTAATACATTTTTAGACACCGTCTATCTGCACACCCTGGTGGCGAGATGTAGTATTTTCCTGTTTCGGATCGATCCTGTTTGTCGCGCAAAATGGTGTAATTGCACTGCGAATTATAACTTTCAGACGGAGATCTGTACTTTAACCTTGCTGGTGTATTTCATCTCATTTACATCTGATAGTGTTAGGAACAATGTACATTTAAACCAAAAAAGCGCAGTCGTCACCTGGCCCGTTTAGATTAAATTATAACTACAATGCAACTATGACAAATAGATTTGAATTAAAAACATTACTGACTTTAAAAAATATACGATATAATAAAATCAACAGAGTTCACACTGTGGATTGAAGCAATCTGGTTTCACTATTCTTGCCTTAAACGTACGATATAGCCTAAAGAGATTGTAAATGAAGGAAGAATTAATCACTACCCACTTAACTCGGTGTGAATGGATTAATGTAAAACAAAAGAATTAGGTGATCAGTGGTCATTGTTGACACACCACAGCACACAGTGCACAATAACGAAATGTGTCCTCTGCATTTAACCCATATGTGTTTCCCACCTAATTCAGCGCCGGGGAAGCAGGGGATTCGAACCAACAATCTTTCAATTTCAAGTGCGCTTCCCTAACCTTTAAGCCACCACTGCCAAAAACCATACAGTGGAAACCGCTTGTAGTAATCATGTCTGTCTGGGTGAAATTGATCACTATAAGTGGATCATTATAGCCGAGTTTTCTTCTTCTTTATGTCTCAGGCAGATTAATATCTAATTGACGTTTGTATCTTTATTACATGAGTATAAGGTAATAAAACGGAAAGCGTCGCTATTATTTTTAATGGCGATTTCAAAATACAGTACAGCTGTTTCAAACACTTTACAAACTACTGTACTGTAATTTAGAGAAAATTACTTCTCTTTTCCCCGTCACGTTTTCTATGCACGAGACAGAAGCAGACAGGTTACTGCAAGGCAAAGCAAAGCCATAAAAGTAAAGTAAAAAAAAAACAATTACCACAGTTTTAATTTTCATAAGTTGTCATGCTTAAAATGACCCAAAATGAATGACTATGTGATTACTATAAGCGAATGATTAAAACAGTATTTGAACAGGAAGGATTATGTCCCAAGCTTTTTGATACATACTGTATAAGCGGTTGATCGATATAACCGCAATCACTATAAGCAGTTTCCACGGAATTTGTTTCTTCTTATCTCCATTAAACGCAGGGCCTGTCAATCCTATATGCGCCTTCCTAGGGCATCGACTCCTGAGGCCCGCCGACTGAGTGAGCGGCCTTTTTTACTTACATACCCTCCGAGACTAAAGTCAAGTCTCGCACCGCTCGGAGAACTCGCGCCCTCTGTGGTGCCGCGCTGAGCACGCGATGTGTGGCGCCAAATTCTGAGGCGATCAAGGACGCTGTTAGGCGTGCACAGTGTGACAAAACAAGCAGTGTAACTGAAACTGCGACAAAAGCAAGACCAAGATTTCAAATCGATTAACCAAAAGCTGCCAGGGAAGAAAAAAATTATGACGTGTATCCTCACGTCACTTCCTTAAAATTAAACGTGGAGGTAAGTAAAATGCTGTAATTTCTTGAATTTTCTTTATTATACTGGGGCTAGATGATGGATGTGCAACGTAATCCGTAGCCCTGTAGGCTGCTAGTTACCTGCCACATTAACATACTTCTAAAAACACAAAAGGTACAGGAAATGGAATCATAATAATATGCGCACACTCAAAGTAAATTTAAATTGGACCAGCGTATGGATTTACATACATATTTATCTATTATTTGAAATTATGAAATTTATTAATATGAAATTATGAAACATACCAGCCTATGGAATTTGAGTCAGATAATTCACCTGGCACAAGAAATGAAGGGTGTTTTTTCAGAGTACAGTACCTCCCCGCACTCCAGTGCAAAAGTGAAACAAATTAATCACTTATCTGGAAAAAGTTACAGAAAACCAATCAGTACCAATCGGTTTGTTTAACGTGATGCTCCTTTTATTCACATTGAAGCAATGAGGGGATGTACAGTGGTCTTCAGAGTGTCACGCTGTCTTGTGTACAACAAATTACTCTGGAGCTTGCATAGGTAGAACAGGCAAAAAAATAATAAAGGAAACAAAGAGCGAGAACTACATCAGTATGGCAAAAATGACACCTGCAGAAGGATGACTACAAACATTTAACAGATGAACAGAAAGCACTCGGGAAGCCTTTAATCATTTTACTGTGCTATTCCACCCCTCTTCAGTCACTTTTCCATTTGTCAGAGACTCCTCTCTCCTCCACTCCTGCCCCTTCTCTTGCTCTCTGCCTTTCAGTTCATTGGCAAGGGTTCCACGACTCCGCGCCGCTCGCAGGCCACCGCTACTCCTGTACGTTCAGGATTTGTGCAGAAAGGCCATGGTGCCAATTTTTCAGTTTTGCAAATCGTGGGCCTTTAACCTCCGACTCAAACTTTTCCCTGTGGTGAGAGACGGGGGGTGGGGGTGGGGGGGGGTGGTGTGGGAGAGATGTGAGACACGGAACTGAAGACACAACAGCAGCATGGATGTTGAGGGACTTGAACACGTGACCAGACAGCTGCAGGATATTGACCTTCACCTGGACGACTTAAGTAAAAATATTCCAGTTAGCATTCAAACAGCTGCATGAGAATGATCTCCATTAAAGTATCTAAGTTTCACCGTCTCCAAATGAGCGGGCAAGACCTACAGAACATCTCCTGGTGAAAGTATTGCTACCGTCCCACCAAAGCGAATGATGTTTGAAAGTTTTGCTTGTAATGTGTCGCTGTTGTGAGAGCTGGAGGTCTGTAGGACAGGAGAAGCCAGCTCTGTTTGTTTGAGGACAGTGTAAGCATCTGCCCATGCACACACCTTAGGGACACTAAGCATGTACTGCAGGTGTGTAACCTACCTCGATTTACGCAGAGCTTCCTCATCTGGGTCTTGCACTGAATGAGAATCAATGAGAGAGAGAAAAAAACATCACTGTGGAAAAGCACCTCGGCCCTCCGACAGGCAAAGCGGGATTTTAAGGAAGTCGGGCAACAGGCTATGGTCTCGAGGACAAGAGAGTGACATTCACTGAAACGATACATCATCTATGAAGGATGATGAACAGTTTAGATAGATAGATTTTATAAAAACCCATGTGGAACTTGGCTGCTTTTCACAAACAATCTCCAGAAGATGATGGCGGGACTTACTGTACTCGGTGCCGGTGATGTGGGCCAGGATACGGAAGGACTTGGACTGCAGGTTAGCTGCGCGACGGGCCCATTCCGACAACTCGGACTCCTTCTCCTCATTCTTGATCACGGCCTGGTAGACGGGGGACGCGCTGTCTACAAGAGGGTCTTTGACTGGGAGTGCGCTGCAATCACAAAGACAGTGACATCATCTTAGTGGCCCCTGGCTTCACCCCCCCCCCCCCCCGCCAGTGGCTAGTATTGGTGGCTTCCCTGATACTGGAAGGACACCTTCCCTGCCCTCACACCTGGAAGATGCAAGGGAACCAGTAATAACCCACTTAGTAGGTAAGGCTAATGTCTATATCTGTGTGCTTATTCAGATTGGGGCACTGGGGTGAGGGGGGGGGTTTGCAGGTACAGTAGCTTTTACACTCCTGTTACGTTCATGTTGGTCCCACAGCAGCACAGTGGTGTGCTGGTCCC